GACGTTGTTTAGCCGGTGGCATGAGCTTTTGTTTCGTACTTGAAAGCCGAGAGCAACCACGAACGTTGGCGGTAGGACTGAAGGAGCCAGGAAGAACGGGTGCAACGACCGATTGGAGCCACTTAAATGCCATTCCAGCCTTGCGAATTGTGCCAGTTTATTTTCAAGGACGTTACGTCTTCTGCGCGTTTGATCTCGCTGGGAGATGACTCCTTGTACCCAAACTGCAGTGGTACGAAGGGTCGGCTGCGCTACGCACTGCGCTCTCAGAAGCGCGAGAAGAACAAAGGCCTGGACGTTCGTTGTCAAAAATCCTACGGAACATTCAGCCTGAAGGGTGCCCATCAGCTCCAGAATGCGGGGGTCATGCCTCAGTTATGGCTTTGAACAAGTACTAGCTATTAACGCAATAGGATACCTTTCCGTCGAATAAATCGCGTTTAGTAGTCCTTACTCCTAGCGGGATGCCTTTACAATGGTTTCTTAATTGTACTCCCTGGGGAGTGTCGTGTTCTTGTACGAGACCAACTCGCTCACAACTCACCGATTGAGCACCTTGCATACAGAGCTAGCGTGCAGGGATTCGAACGCAGAATCACATAATCACTGAGAGAACAGGTGGCGACCGCCTGTTCTTTGAGCTTCAAAGGCAGGCAATTGCGATGCGGCGCAGGCGTCAGATGTGGGGTCTGGATGAGCTACAGCGGTATGACCTTTGCTAACATGAATACAGATGTGCCGTTCAGCAGGGTTTGGATATCTAAAAGTCACTTTGCGTCCGCCAGCTGTCAGGCCGACTCATTGACTGTCCTCCGGTCGCAGCTAAGTCTCCATCGCTCCGAACCAGAACGGACAGCTTTTGTAGGCTGGCCTTTCAGGCCGAAGCTGCCTGTGGCGCTACTTGACGTTCCGTGACGGGCAGTGCCCGTGATAAGACCGCGCAATGTGTATCGCCACGTGCCGTTCAACTCCGCCGCGGCCGCGTGTGCGACAGGTGATGCGGATGCAGTGGCCGTCCGTCTGCACCGATGCACGGCACACCTTTGTTTTGTCAGCCCCGCCGCCCCCACCGGAAGGGCGCGACTTCCAGGCGGTGAACGCTCGGCCCGACGTCTGTGGCCGGCTGTGACGTGGGTGCCCCTGCCACGGCAAGGGGAGGAGGGGGCGGGGGGGGGGGGGGAGAGGTCCGCCGGAGGTGGGGTCTCTCCGACAGGCGGCCGGGTTCTACGGGATGAACTCCCTGAGAGCAGCGTCCAGTGCATGACTCAAAAACCACCAACACGATGGGTTTTGAGTCATGCACCGCACGGCAGTGAAGTGTCGCGCGGCAGGCGACGATGCGTCGCCTGCAGTCGGCCAGCCCTTGCGCGGCGTGCCCACGTCGACCCACGCCCCCGGGTGATGTCACCTCTGCTCGTGCAGTACGCTGACGTCACAGCGCTGCTCGCTTCGCGTGGGGCCGGCGTGGGCGGCTGCCAGTCCCGCTATGGCGTCCGCCAGATCACTCTTCAGCCCTCGCCTGCGCTGCACGCGTCTTGGCTTAACTTTCCGGGAACTTGTGTAAGAACCGGCTTCCCGCGCTTTGGAAGTCGACCTCTGCGAAAGGTTCTCTCCTATGTCCTACCAGCTTAAGCATTTCGACCCGTGCAGTGCGATTCGTGCGGAGGTATCCTCGAACCGATCCTTTCCCACCGTGAGACGGCAGGACGCTTGAGTCGCTCACCCGCCGGCGAGCCGCAGTTCCGCGCTCAGCGCAACACGGGGGCAATCCAGCGCGTTTGATAGCGTCACGTGTCGCCGTGCCCACGTGTCAGGCACGGTGGCGAAATAAATCTCATCGCGCACGCCTCAGTCGTCGGAGAGCACACGCCCCAGGCGTCGGAGAGCACACGCCCCAGCCGTCGGAAAGCACCAGCCGTCGGAGAGCACACACCCCAGCCGTCGGAGAGCGCGGCCGCCGTCGGTTGCACGTCGCTCGATGGCTTGAAAGCGACGTCAGGTCCGACACCGCCAGCGATCGCGCTAACGAGCGTAAATGAGATTCATCCAATCGCCCTTATGGCGGGGAGGGGCGGGACTCTTGGCAGATGTGCCTATATCTGCGGGCAGGACGGGCGGCCTCGTCGGACGGGCAATATCGTCGCTGGACGTCGCGTCAGTGTCGACGAAGGTGTGGCACGCACGGCACGGCACGGCACGGCACCGCCTGATGTGTGGCACAGCTTCACCTGCCGTGTGGCATCATTCCGACGGTGTGCCGCCCGCGGTAAGCCGCAGTTCCTGATGCCAGATCCCGCTCCAGCAGTGTGGCAAAGCCCCTGACGCCCGGTCCCGTTCCCGTGGTGTGGCGCAGCTCCTGACGCCTGGTCCCGCTCTCGCGGTGAAGCATAGCTCCTGATGCCAGGTCCCGATCCCGCGGTGGTGGCGCAGCTCCTGACGTCCGGCGGCGCTATGATTGCCGCCACTCCGAACCGCGGCCTGGTCGCCGCCGTCCATTAGGGCGCGGCGCCACGTCGTTCGCCAAATTAACGGCGCCGTTTCGGCTCAGAGGCTCGTTCGCTGTTTAGAAGGCTCGGACTGATTAAGAAGTGGCCCGCTCATGGCGGCCGCGGCCGAGCGCGGCGACACGGCTCGGCCGCCGGGCGTGGCCGGGCGGGGCCGGGCTGGCAAATGTCGACGAGGTGGGCGGAAATGGGCTGATATCCGGTCGCAGTTTGCTGGGAGAGGGCGGAACTGGACGACGATGTCGCCAGGATCTGGGAGAGTCGTGCGGCTCGCGAGCCACGAGAGTCGCGTGACTCGCGGCCGAGATGTTGATGCGCGATGAGTGCGATCTGGATGCAGCCTTCTGGCTGGTCAGCCTTGGAGCGCTCGTGCAGCTATGCGTTACTGTGACAGCCCATCTGTCGCATAGAGAAGCTGTGCGTGTTTGGAATAGCACGACAGGTGGGAGCGGCAGGACCAGGATGTAGACGTCTGACGTTGATCAAGCTGTCGGCACGGCAAGCGCAACGGAAAGCAAGCAAGCCGTGGAAGGTAAACACGTACCGGTCACTAGCCGGAACGTAGACTGAGCGTGGGCGGAGGGTCGAGGCCTGGTGCGGGAAAAATCAACCGCATTCCGCCGCATCGTGCCCGTCTGCGGCCGCGGGTGGCGCCGCAGTTCGCCGCGGCACAGTGCAGCTCGTCGCGCGAGGCGACTGCGAGCGCCAGTGCACGGGCCGCGCGAGGGCGGACGGCTGCACGTTGCCAACAACAGTCGTGCGCCGGCGCCGTACTGGGCCTGTAAGCGCTGATCGTATCAGCGAGCTATTAGCGCGGCGGCGGCGGCGGCGGCGGCGGCGGCGGCGGCAGCCGGACCGTGCCGGTAGGCTGCACCGCAGCCGCCCCGCTGGGCGACGCGGCGGCCAGGTCGGCGGATGAGCCGGCTGGACAGCAGCTGCGCAGTATAGTTCAGCGGGTGCCGGGCTCGATTCCCCCCTCCCTCCCGCTGCCACCACCTGGGGTGGCTAACGACGCTGGGTGACATCATGCCCGAGGCACTTTAAACTCCAATGGAATACCCGGCCACGTTCGGAGGAGGTTAGAGGGTTCACTGCGTCTGGGTGAACGGAAACGCTGCGGGGAGCCGGCAGTTCAGAGAGCGGCAGCGGATGTTCGGTGTGACTCCCCGCCCCCCGGGATCGGCTGGTGTTACCCGCTCGATCCCCTTCATCGACCAGCGCCGCCCAGCTGCCCCAGCTGCCGCGCTGGCCGTCGCTGGTGAATCATTGCTTGCAGGCCTTGCCCCCCGGCGTGATGGGCTGACCCGACACTGTTTTCTCGCGCCGTTCTCTGGCGGGATTCTTCGGTGCAGTTCTCTGACATGGTTCTCTGACTCGGTTCCTCAGCTCTGACGAATTCCTCAGCGCAGTTCTCTGGCGCCGCTTCCTGGTGCGGTTCTCCGGCACGGTTCTCGGGTGTGGCCTTCTGGTACGTTCTCTGGCGGTGGCCCCCGACCCACAAACCCAGATGAATGGGTGGGGCGCAGCGGGCTTTGGGGGGGGGGGGGGGGGAGGGGGAGACGACGATCGCGTGAAGGTGATGCCAGCAAATCAGGCGGAAATGAGATTGAGCGGATGCTTGCCACAGCGGCAGCGTATGAATGCACGTCAATTGCTGTATGGGCGCCGCTGCCATCGCGTTCGGCTGGTGTTATTGATCACATGCTGATTGCCGCTGCACATGACGGATATCATCAACTTTTTGCTGGATCGTCCTGTGTGGAAAATTGGGACGTGCATTGGCACGGGCGCTTAGCTTTTTACGTGGAGCGGCGCCGGTCCCTATCAAGCGTGAATCGTGTCCCGCACGATCACCTTTGTCGTTGCGGGCTGAACTCTCGCCCGCGACAAGGCAGGGGACAATTGGAAAATGGTAGGGACCATTTCTGCTGCTGCGTTTCGCGGCTTATCGTGTGTCCGCACATTTTCGGCATGCTTGCATGCCTTGCTGGACTCCCGTCACACGGGCATTGAAAGCCAGCTGTGCCCCTGCCCCCCTCCCTCACCCCCTCCCGATCGGGCCAGTCGATGCCTGTCGATCCGCCAGCGTTCGCTGACTCCCGCCTGACGCACACGCGGCCACCAACGGTGCGCCGTCTATGATCGGGCCCGACCCTGAAGCTTGCGCTCGAACATGCAGAACTACACCGCGGTGTTGGCGGTGTTAGAGCTGTGATGTCGGTGTGATGCGTCCAGCGCCTTGCCTACATACTCTCCAGCATGACAGTCAGTCCACAGCCAGTCAGATGCTGGAGTTCGTGCTCCAGTCTGATCACACTGACACCGATCAATCCATATGCGATTGAAGCGCCCGTAACCACAATCTCGAATGCGAACGAACCCAGACAACCAGTCCCCCTCAGCGGCGGCCGCCCGCCCCTCGCATCTCCCAGAGGCCACGGCGCCTTCCGATCCGGTGACAGTGACCCGTGACCCGTGACCGACAGTAACCCGTGACCTCCCGCCGCAGGTGGCCGGCCGCGCCTGGACCTGATCTCGCCCTCGGACGGCTACCACGGCCTGGTGAGCGAGAGCAGCAGGCGGGTGGATGTCACGCCGCCGATCCGCGCCGTCGGCGCCGACGTCTGCGGCTTCCGCATCGTCAACCAGTACCACGGCGACGCGCCGTTCGAGGTGAGGCGGCGGGCGGCAGCGGGGGGAGTGGTGGAAAAGGGGCGGGGGCGGCGGGAGTGGTGGAAAAGGGAAGGGGATGGCGGTGCCGGGGATGGAGAGGGAGGGGCAGGAAAGGGAGGAGAAGGTGACGTAGGCGGAACAGGAGATTGGAAACAAGGGAAGGAGACGGGGAAGACGGAGACGGAGACGAAAGGGAAGGGGGGGGGAGGGTAAAGGTCTGTGGACTCTCCCCAGCAAAATGAGGTTGACAATGTACAAATGTAGGGACAGGAGACGACTGGGGTGGTAATTATGCACGCTTAGCCCAGAAATGCCTAACAGATCACATAAGGTAACCGGATGTGCCTGTTTTTCTCTCTCTGAATCCGAATTCTGCCCGTCATTTATTCGTGGTATCGCCGCGCCACTCTACCTTTTCAAATGTTTGCATTATGTGTATTAGTGGCAGCATTTCTTCACTTCTCGCTATCACATCCAAGAAGATCATTCCCTTTTACTTGTCATGGCTGACTCAATTCATTCTGTAATCAGAGGTACTGTATGTACGTGTCTAGAGGTTATATATATATTCATATTGCTCCCACTCCCTCTCCAGCTCCCGCTCTCCCCCTCCCTCTCCCTCTCCCTCTCCTCTCCCTCTCCCTCTCCCTCTCCCCCCCTCCCTCTCTTCCCTCTCTTCCCCTCCCCTCCCACCCCCCTCTCCCTCTCCTCTCTCCCCTCCCCTCCTCCTCCCTCTTCCTCCCCCCTTCTCTCTCTCTCTCTCTCTCTTCTCTCTCTCTCTCTCTCTCTCTCCTCTCTCTCTCTCTCCTCTCTCTCTCTCTCTCTCTCTCTCTCTCTCTCTCTCTCTCTCGCTCTCTCTAACGGCCGCATCATCTGATTGGTCCGACGGTCGATTGTCAGGAGGGCATCATGTCCACGGAATAACGACTTGGTGAGAGCTGTGGCCATCGCGACCCGACATGACGTAGCCGTGACCTCCCTGTGAACTCGCCGCCACTTGTGGCGACCACATCTAGGACTCTGTGTCGTCCGCGTGGCTCGTCTTGTCATGTACAGATCCGCGACGCATCAGTACCCCCGCCCGGTTTGCCATGCCATTGCCATGAATCCGCCATAGCCGTATTATGACCTCCATGTGACCACATCATGGATTCTCCGTGATCCTGCGTGACCTCACGTCTCTGAGGTCGTGACATCCCCCCTCTTTTCACCCGCTGTGACCTCGTTGCAACATCCATCTGACCCCATCATGACCCTTCCTCCCGCCATGACCTCTGTATGACCCGCCGCGACCCCGCGTGCCACCGTGACCCGGCCTTGACCCCGTCGCGGGCCTCAGGTGGTTACCACGGACGAGGCCACGGGCGAGGCCGAGATCATGGCGCTGCGGCCCCTCAACTGCGAGAAGCGCAAGAGCTACCGGTTCGACCTTGCGGCCGTCGGCTGCGGAGTCGGGTCGCCCATGTCTGACAAGTGAGTCCGCCGCCCGCCTGGCCCCGCCGCCCTCAGCTGGGAGGACCGTACCCCCCCCCCCTCCCCGTGCATCCCCATTCCCATGGATTGCCTGCCAGTCGGTTAGCGCCGCTCCCGGAGAGCGGCTGCCAGGCTTCCAGAGGCCGCCGGAGGCCACTTCTTCAGATGAGGTTTATTTATTTACCGCCGCGCACGCCACGGAAGATACATTCGTCTCACCTGGCCCGCCGGGCGCGGTCGGAATGCCCCGAGGCGGCGTGATTTACTCGATGACGCTGCGAGCCGGCACCGGCGAGCCCTGTCTGAACGTGTACCCGGCGCAGTCGGGCACGGCGACCGGCAGCCGCGGCGCGATGTGCGACCATCGCTCCCGAGCGGTGACGCTGATTGGGGCTGTGCGACCCGACGACTCCCCCGGGACCGCCGCCGCCGGCGCCGCCGGTCCCGTCTGCCGGGCCCGGCCCGTCGGCAGCGGCGGTGGCGGCGGCTGTGGCGTGCCGCCGCCACCGCCGGCCCGGCAGATCCCATTACCGGGATGCCGTCGGCATCGATCTGTGCGGTGGCCGGCACTGTTTGCACCTGGCGTCGCCGGCGCCGGGCCGGGTCCGGTCGGGTCACCTCGTGCGGCGCGCCGAGGCTATCGCCGGCCTGCAGCCGGAACTGGACGCGTCGCCGGCTCGCTCGCGCTGTTGTGTTAAGGGGGGGTGGGGCACTGGTTTGTGGTGCTGACATGGTCACGTGAGATGCGAAAGGCGTGGTGTTGGCTTATCTCCGCGGAGACCCGGCGCTCCGCGGCCTCCCTGCTCGCGCGTCCGTGTGACCGGCTTACGTCAAGGACGCCGCATGATGAAGCGCTGTCAAGCGGGGTAAACATCCGCTGGTGAGTCACCGCCGCTTTCAGCGATGACGCTCGTTGTTGCTCGGCCAGACAGCCGGGTGGCGTCTGCCACTTACAAGTGCAGACGCTCTTGTAGGTCTCAGCTCGGGGACCAATCGACCGGAGGAGAAGGCCGTCGGGAGGCGACGATGGCCCGCTGACCTGAGGTCAGGCTCGGCCGAGCGTGGGACCACAGACGGAATGAGCGGCAGCGTTGGCCAAACCTTGCAACAAGCCAGTCCGCTAAGAATGCATTCAAGACAACCGAGATAAAATGGTGAAGGAGCCGACCCAGGGGACAGAAGTCAAGCGACGAGCGTGGAGAGGAAACCGACCCAGCTAGCCCAGTCAGGCTAATATCGCCAAGTTCCGGAGGACCCTCGATTTAAAAAGGACACACAGAAGGAGTGTATGGCCACGCTCCTCAGCGCTCAGCGTGATCAGCCGGTAACGAGTGGGGCAGTTGCAGGGGAGCGATACACAACCGGAGCAGCTGACATGAACAGAGACCGCTGGTGTAAATGCGAACTGATCGGAGCAGTAAACTGGTGGAGCAGAACCGCAGAGCGACTCTTCAGTCCCTGCGAGGGGCCCCCTCTTTGCCGGGCCATGCCCCCTTCGCAGGTTGGTCCAGGCCAACGCTAGATAAAACGATTGTGCGATGTCCGGTCTCGCTGTGTATACGCATGGGAGCGTCCGCGGTCTGGAGTACAGGACCGGTGAACAAGCTTTCCTCGGCCCTCTGGTGGGAATACAGTTCTTATGTCAGCATGCTGCGGTCTTGGTCAAAGGTCTGCTTATGGAATGGATGGTTCGTCGTGTTTTGTCTGATGTAAATAAGCGAACCCATGACTTATGTAAATTCCGGTCGATTAATGGTGCATTTCGACTATCAATATACCGGCTGTTTTTTTTAAGTGCGAACCAAATCCGGGTAGCTCGGAACAAGCGGTAAAATGGTCAGAGCTTTTGCCTGATCGCGATGTTCAAAGCGCTTGCATCGACCGCCAACTACTTTAGCTGGCATCCATACCCACAACTGGCTAGAAAAGCGCTTATCTCAAAGACCCCGGCAGCTACATGTTCACGAAATGGTCGAGCGGGTGCACGAGATTATGGTCGAACGGTTCATTAATCCCCACCAGTTATGCTAGACTGCGAGCGTGGATCACGCGGCGATGCATGGCTTAGCTGATAGTGGTTGCGATCGGGCAGGCCTGAAAACTGAGCCCTTCAGCCAACACTCGCTCAGAGTGCTCCGTTTACACTGTCTCTGCTCTCGATTGGCTGCGCCGCGGGCCTCCAAGTGGGTGTTCGTGACGGTTGTCGCGAGCGCAAAATCCCGAATTCATTGTCATCGCGTCCGACGCGCAGTAAACGGATCTACCCGCTCTCTTGCGGTGGACATAAATCACTGGCGCTCATCGCGCCGTCGCCGGGCTGTCCAGCCCCGCCGCGGTGACGCGCCCCTCGCCCTTGGTCAGGGGTGTCGCCTAGTCCGGGCGCCCCCGAGCGGCCGCGGCTGCGGAAGGCACCCCGCCGCCGTGCGTCCGGTGTCTGCGAAGTCGGCCTGGCTCGGTCTGCCTTTAGTTAGACTAATGGAGAGGCGGAGCGACGTCATTAATTACGCCCGGCGCTGGCTGCGCCGTAATGAAATGCACCGTCACGCCGTTCAGTAGTGAAACACCCCGCCAATGGGCTGTCTTGTCCGCGCTGCAGGTATTTTGTGTGTCGGCCGAGCAGTGGTGAGAAAAAGCTTGATTAGCGCCATCCCGGCACGGCAGTCCTGATCAGCGTTTGGCTGCAGAACATAGCACTGCGGCTGTGAAATCGTACCATTGAAACTGCGTTGGTCATTAGGTGCTGGGTTTACACCACGTGTTTCTTTGCTGGGTGTGCATACGATTGCACTGCGAAAATAGGCACTCGAAAAGGTTCGTTCTCCATATGACCTCAGCAGTTGGCGCCCCCAGTGCCTCAATAAACAACAACATTAAACATGCAACGGAAAATGTTGACATCCTTGTTAAGAATCTGTTCCAACTCGGGTTTCTACCGCCGAATGTCGAATGCCGCTGTTACCGGTGTCGGATACCGCTGTCTTTGCACGGCAGATGGTGAGACAGGACATCCTTCCCCAATACCACTGCTATTGAATGGGGTTTGTGGGTTTTGCACCGAGCGGAGAATGCGCCTCTTTTCAAGCCTGCGAGCCGCCTATACGTCGTAGCGACATCAGGAGCATGTCCAGTGTTCATTTGATCTGCTACAAGAGATTAATCACATTCAAATAGCGGGCAAAATTGCGGGAATTATTGATTTAATGCACGGTGCTTGTTATTACTAATGCTAACTCAGTAGCACTACTGTGAACACATTAAGTCACTTTAGGGACGAAATTGTTGATACTTTTGACTTCCGCATGTCGTGCGCACCTCGGGTGTTCTTCAGTGTTCAAGGAGAAGACCCTGACACTCCCTGAAATAAAACAGTTCTGGCCGTGTTGCCTGTGGAATGAAACGGTTGCACCGCAGACAAATGGAAAGCAGCGGATGTTTACAATATTCGCGAACGCGAAATGTGAAAACAAAACTAAGCTCCGAGGCAATTTTGACCACTTTGTTTTCTCATCACAATGCATGCGTAGATTCGCTAGTGCGCGTTTTCTTTGAAGAGTCGCGTCAGCTAATTGTTTGGGACGTCGCTGTTGTTCAGACGGCGGACGGCGCTGAATGGCGAGCCCTCATCCAATCAGGGCGTCCGACACACTGTCGGACGCCGCCGCCGCCGTTATTGACTGACGCGCCCGTTATTGACGGGCGCACCGCTCAGGGTCCACTGCGGCACTGAGCCTACGTTAAGTGCCGGCGAGGCCAAGCGACCTTCTTCCTGCCACGACATGTGCGCTCAGACTACCTTCATGTCACCCGAAAGATGTGCTGCAGTCATCGGTCTTTGGTATTCCACGCCGCTGCGACCGGTGACTGCGGTGCGCCTGCGTCCTCGACGATCACCTTCCCTTTTCCTGCCGCCCTTTATCCGCGGCTCCCTGCCTCCTGACGCACCGCCAGGCACGCGCCTATCGCTGCAGCGTTTTGTTCAGCGGAGCCGCCTAAGAGCCCGTCGTTACGGCTTCCGCGTCAAGGACACGAACGAGAAATGACGCGTTTGCCGTGGAGATGGCGTGTCTCGTCTGCACGGACGGGCGGGTCGGGCTGGATGGCACCTCGTTTTCCGTACATGGTCGGCGAATGGCCGGAAAATGGACCGAATCAGAACGGCCTTCCACGTCAGCCTGCGTCCACATGAAGCCCCAAGTGTAACACGTTCTGGTTCTGGTCTGCCAGTGATGTGGCGCGCCTGGCAGGTTTTCTGATGATAACAGAACCGACATGTGCGGAGTTGCGTAACTGGCATGATGACTCCCGGTTTAACCTCTTCGTGTTAATCGCCGAGCTGCCAGTTTGGGTCGTTCTTGGAATCCAGTGAGTTCGCTGTTGCCACGGCCACAGATCGCCATGCTTACAAAATCGTTTTAAAATGATCACTGAATTTGCATCAAGCCCACAGCCTTCCGTGAGTTAGGGTTATCAAACTGATGCAGCCATTTATTTCAAAGTGATGCAGTGAATAAAGACAAATGTTGGCTATCATTTTTAACTCATTTACTATCTTAAAGGGCAATAACATTACGTTGTTGGAATTACGTGATCCAGACCGGAGCCTTTCGTAGCCAGTTATTGCATAAATCTGAAACTTGGCGCACGCTCGACAAGATGTGTGCCCGTCTGCGGACATGGGCGCAAGCTGAAGTCTCGAGGTCTCGGAAACAAACCGGTTTTCTGCCAAATCATCGTGCACATATGTACACGGCATCAGCACGCATGCCAGCATTGGGATGGAATCAGCTTTGTGTACTCTGCGATAGCATGTGAGTTTATCCCTTAACCGGCATGTCAGTGCCAGTGCACCATCGTCCTTTGATCACATGCCAACGCCGGCTGCGGTAGTCCCGCCCGTGTCCACTGTCCAGTCGTCCCCGCCTCTGTCGGACCCGCACCGGCGCCGGCAGTGGTGACCCGGTCCATGTCCGCTGTCCAGTCGTCCCCGCCTCTGTCGGACC